TGCTTAATGTCAATAAAAATGTTGATAATATTAGAACTCTGTAGGTGTGATTGTGTACAGTCCTCTCTCTGCCAGAAATACTCCCCTAGGCTGCTGTTGTCAGTCAGAATAACATGTAAATCAACTTATCTTGTTAAATAAGAGTTAACAAAGTCCAAACATTTTAATTAGACATCACAATTCATCCTTTTATCAGCAGACTGCTTCCTGACCTGCGAATGAACTGGCCGTTTGATTGGTTGTCAACACCCTCCTCAGGGACACTAATGCCCTGGCAACAGATTTGTGCGCTTTGAGGACAAATGTGATGGGACCACCTCTCCACTGCCAAAACCTATTGCTCATCAGCAGTATGTGTGTGTGTGTGTGTGTGCAAAGTAAAACTTATGGGTGTGGGGTGACATTATAAACTGGTGTTGGAAATGATCTGATTGCATCTGTATTCTTGATATTTTTCTTGTCATGTATTTCATTGAATAATTCAAATGTACACAATTCAAAATGATGTGTGTGCTGCCATGTGTTTGTGTGTATGTGCGTGTGTTTTGTGGACTCGGGATGGAGTGAACATAACTTCTTCTGATGGTCTGAGTGAAGAACACAGCTGCCACTTCACACCACAGTTTTGCCATTACAGAGTTGATGATTGGCTTGCACGCATCACTGTGACCACACACAGTCAGACGAATGCATGCACTCTCAGAAGACTCATCACTCCTCGGACATATCACATAATGCACATTGCAGTATTTAAAAAAATTCCAATTCTTGAAATACATAAACAGCTATAAATTAAACTAATCAGCTTCTCCACAACAAACCCACGCATCCTATACATAGATTCTCATAGGCCATATTTTGCACATACAGTAAATGCTCTCTGTTCTCTAATGTATGAAGAAGCAGAGGCAGATCCATAACTAAAAAGTATTATTGCTAGTAATTTTTTAAAATTCATTTCTCAGTTGCCGATAACACAACAAGGCTTTGCCTGCAATTCTCAGCTCTGTCGAAGGACACTGTCATGTCAGCCAATTAATGAACCACTGTGGACTTATAGTGCGAAAACAGAAAGTAGGTGGGCGCAGAGGTCACCTCACTCCTAGTTCAGTTTTTCTCTCTCTAGAATTTTCTCTTTTGCCTTTTTATTGCTGATCCCGTTGCTGCTGTTTTGGCACGACAGTGGGCTTATATCTGTGAGAGATGGAAACTGTCTGCTTAATTAGAAGAGGTCTCAGCTTAATAAATGCTTCAGTTTTAGAGGTTGTGAAGTTGGTAGTTATTAGGAGCTTAAAATTGTGTCTTTTAACTTTTGCAATCTGTGCTCTTAATAGTAATAATAATAATAATAATGATAATTTGGAGGGCAACAATGGTTATTCCCACAATTAACATTAACCTAATATTTAATTTAGACATTAACATGTGAGCTCAATTAGATCTTTACATTTGTCATTCTCTATCACAACACACTTTTCCCGATAGCTGCACATCTTTATGAACAGTGATTCCTCTGTTATATGTGGCAATTATTTGTTGCCTACATCATTTATTTTCTTTTTCAAATGATGAAGGAGTTTCAGAGACCAGCGTAGACTTAACCAGCATGGTCATGGGAGATACATTGTGTGAACACCTGCAATACCAATGCCAAATCTGATGGATACTTCTTGTCTGGGGATATTTATCCTTCCTAGACCTACAGAGATTGACTAAGTGTCCAAATAAGGTTAATGTCCACCCCTCTATACGTGTGTGAAGATTCTATTTGATGTTGGTTCAAGATGTCGTGCCTATATAAGTTAACTTAAAGTCATGTTGTGTGTCATTTAAGCCAACACTTTCTCCATAGAGCCAGTCAGTCTGTCTGAAAAGAAACAAAAGAAAGATCATCTCGACCTTGGGTTACCTAACAAATGGATAGCAGTGCATCATTATCAAGGCAACTGCGTCAGTCAGTCGACCAAGCAGGCAGAGAGGAGAAATAGAGTCTGATCTACTGATTTGAATTAGGCTGAATTTCACCTTAGGCTTACTTTAGCTCAGTAATATAGACCGTATCATGACCTGGGGAAATCTGTGTCATAGTACCCCTAAAATTCCTTCACAAGTGGTACAAGGAATCAACTGGAATAAGTAAGATTGATATACAATTAGACAAGAGATGACTGAATAATTTCACTGATAACATTTACACATAATAATACAAATACATAATATAATGGCATTTCAAATCAGTTGCTATTTATTTTTTAATATAGCCTATATTGTGTCAGAATATTTCCACTATAACAAATCACATACTCATACTGTACATTACACACTAGCTACGACCGGCGTCAGCGTGGAAGTGCAGGTATGAGGTGAAGGAGGAGGAGGATGGCGTCTTCGAGTCCCGGCCGGAGCGGTTTTGAAAATGGTGAATTTGAGGAGGATCAAAGAGAATGGACTCAAGTAAGATCAAAGAATGCAAGAATAATTCTGTCACACTGAGTGGGAGTTCTGAGAACAATCCATTAATGAGTTACATCCAGTGAAGCTCATGAAGACTATTCATCAAGAAATGTGTCTGATTAAAAAACTAGAATGTTGGTGGAAACAGCTAATATCATCCAACAAGAAAGGATACTGAAAATGGAGTTTGAATTAAAAGTCGTCTTGGGGGGTGAGTAGTGGAGTCCCTTTAGAAATCAGCGAAGTGCAAAACAAAATATCATCCGCTAAAGCAACAAAGCAAATCTCGCAAGGTATGACAGCGCAGCTACATCCACTCACCACGAACACCAATTTTCCCCAAGTGATTTCCCTAAATTACCACAGGTCCCATGCAATGTTCACATAAGTGTACAGTAAAAGACAACACCTTGATAGCAGATAGGTCCAGCTTTGTGGCCTTTTTCGGGAAGGTTGTGAATTTTACTAGGCAATAGACACAAAAAAGGTCAAGGCTTAAGACTATAGTTGATGCAGAAGATGAGAATCGGGACATAAAGGATCTGACTGTAGAAATGTTGCACGGCATGTAATTCCCAATGATGGCTGATGGCACAGTAGTGATTAATATCATGTTTTTCCTTATTCTACAATGAAATGTCATGCGTGGTCAACAATTTAAGAAATATATGCAACAGTTAAATGATAAACCAGATCCAGGAGACCTGGCTGAAAGCTCATCTGCACTTTAAGACCAGGGGTTATAATGTAATAAGACAAGATGGAGAAGGTGGTTTGGGAGGGGGATGTGAAACCTTTATCAAAGAAATATTATCTTATGTGAGGGTATTAATTAATCACAATACAGATTTATAGTAGTAGTATAATTCTGCATAATCCATGTAGAAGAATCAGGATTGAAGAATTAGAGAGGTATAATAAAATGGTGTGGTGACAGTACATTACGAGGACGGAGGATAATTGACTACAATGGACAGACTACAGAGGAACTAACAGAGGTAAAATAATTGATTTAATTAAAACAACGAGTAAGGCACTAGGATTCATTTCAATGGAGAGTCAGCTCTAGATCTTACATTAGTGTCCAATGAATTAGCTGGTGCTAGTAAAGTAAAGGTACTGAATGATAACATCGTTGGCAGTGATCATTAACTGCAAAAAAGTTGATATGAATAATACAGTTCAGCTCGATGGGATCAGGAGATGGAATTTTGGCAAGGTGGACTGGGGAAAATGTATAGTTACTGTGATTTAGAGTTTCGTCATGTTGGGACAAATGGATGAAATCAATGAAAACATTAAATAAAATAATAATAAAGGGGTAAACATACTACTGAAAAGACAGTTAAGATGGTGCCATAGAGGGAGTTGGGGAAATGCCTCTTTAGCTAAGAAGGAAAGAATTGATGGCCAATTATTGGGCAAATCTGCAGAGGCACAAGGATTAAAAAGTTATAACGTCTTGGGAAAGCAACTAAAAGTTATTATTTCAGATATAACTAAGGAATTTGAAGTCAATGATTGGGTCATCAGTCAAACTTTTTGAAGACCAGCTATTCCACCATGGTCACTGCCTTAACCAATAATACATTTCTCCACAATGGAACAAGTACATTCAAGTAGAAATGCATTCATTATGTAGGGTTGTGTGAAAACTACTACATCAGAGGTATGGGTATTATGTGCTTAAAATCCAGAGAATGGAAAAAGTTTTATGTCCCAGAATTGAAAGTTAAGGTGACCAAGAGAACAACTGACCATATAGCGTGGACTATGCAGTTGAATACCCTGTGAATACTGCTATGTTCATACTCAAGTGCAGCTAAGGCTATTCTCAAGCATACCTCTTCCAGATGAACTCAAGATATTCTCTGACATTTTGCAGTCTTTGTATAGAATTATTACGCTACGAAATGAAGCACAGTTTTTATGGGTACCAGCTCATGTGGGCATTCAAGAGAATTAAACAGTAGACCATCTTGCCAAAACTTAATCAAAAGCTCATCACATTGAGTTGGCAATACTAATAAATAAGGCAGAAATCAAATCTTTCATTTGAAACAAACTTAAGACAGAGATCTAGGATAGCTAAAGAAACCTAAAGGACAGGCGTTTGTATCAGATCCAGCAAGAAGTTGGAGAAAGAAGTTCACTGGGGAAAAGTAGAGAAGAAGAGTGTCTGATTAGTAGGATTAGACTGGGATATACTAAATTAAATTCATCTATATACCCCTGATTAGAAAGCATCCAAGCGGAACATGTGATGTCTGCAATCAAATGGAGTGAGGCTCGTGTCAGACAGTTATTAGGAACGATCTGCAACGTAAAGGGATTAAACACATGGACCATAAAAAAATATTTCAAACAGTTCTGGAAATTGGGTACAAAGCATGTATCCGTCTCTCTACAAAACACCGGAGTGATAACAAAAACATAAGAACAATGCGACGCGACAGTTGGTGGCGATAACGCTCCGCCCTGTCGCAATCCCCCAGTTAAGAAGAAGAAGAAGACGTCAGCGCGGTCCACACGTCTTTCAGCAACGTGACGTCATCACGCACCGTTTCCAAACAATGCTCAGGAAAAAGCCACGTTGACGATCCAGACTGGAGTGTAGTCCACAATTTCAGGCAGAATAAAGCAGGGATTTCATTGTTAGACGCTCTGGTTCTCCCCGCTGCTGACTTCAAATCAGAGCAGACATGTCGTCACCGCCGAAAGAGAAAGTCGAAACCAAAGGAGGACATCTCCCTGCAGGTAGAGCTCCTTGGGCTGCTGTGTTGTTTTTTTCCAAAGCTTCTTATAAACCCGGAGGCCTTTGCTTCTGCAGTCTCAAACTGAAAATCACATGATGTTTAATACTTATGCAATCACGAGCCACACTTGCAGATGCCTGCGACTGACGACGTTTTATTAGTGTTCCAGATTGTGTGCAGTGTAATCTGCCATTGTTTGTCAATTTCCCCACTTCCTGATTGGCGTGAGATCTTGCAACATCATCTAACCTGGTGGTATTGTATTGTATAGTTTTGAATTGGTGGTCAACGTGAAGGATTTCGTTACAATGATGCCGTTATTGCTGCTGGATGACGGTGACGTGGAGGTCATAGGCTCCAGTCTTGTTGATGTAAGCAGAGGAAAAACAGATAAGGTGTACGTGGACATGAGCAGTGTGGCAGGGAACTGGGCCTCAGCAGCTGCAGCACTGATAGCACAGTAAGATAAAACATGCACCTTATACCCTACCTGTTATTAGTGGGGAGGCCCACAGCACATACAGACGGCAGTGTGTCAGTTTTTAACAAACATACTGGTTCATGTACATGTATGGGCACTAATTTCTTTAACCAGGCCAAGAGGTCAAGATCAGCAACAGAACAGCGGTCCTGCAGCTGCTAAGAATCCAGGAGTCTTGCTCAATGACACTTAGGCAGGATGGCTGCTTGCCAACACCGCCTTTTTAATCTTTGTCTTTCTGATGAGGGACAGACTTCTAACCTACTGTGCAACCTAAAATGTGATTATGGCCAATTTAAACAATATAGAGGACATACATTTTCCTTAAGTCCCTAACATTGCCAATAAAGTGAAAACTTGTTTTTTTATCTAACTATCCAAACACAATTTGGCTCAAGGTTTTTTTTGGTTTAATATCAGTATCTGGTATCTTTTTATTTTCTCACTGTTTGAATTAGCTGTTTATACAGACCACATTTGTGAGCTCTTAAACAAATTGTCTTATTTCACCTGTGTGTACCTGTGTGTACGTGTGTGTGTTGCAGTAAAGGCAGGAGGAATGAGGATAGTCCAGAAGCACCAGGCCACTGCTGCTCCAGAACCACCGCAGAAAGATGACGACGAGGAGGAGTACGTCAGCACCAGGTACCACACCCACTCAGTCATGAACGGGCCTACCGGGCACAGGCCCAGGGACCTTTGCTCAAGAGCCAAGGTCCCTGTGCCAGAGCCTCTGTTTGAAGTGAATGTTAATAGTTGTTGTTGGAAAATCAATCAAACGACCACAAAGAGACTACAAAGATATAGAATATGACTACAAAACGACTTCAAAGAGAGGCAAAACTAATACAAAGATGCAGAGAGATGTAAATTGCCACAGAGATCCAAAACAACAAAGAGACCCAAAAATGACCTCAGAGAGATAAAAAATGGATACAGCGGAAACGTCTGCGTCATTTATAGTCAAGTGTCTTATTCTTATGTAGGAGAGGTGGGGGGACATTGTCCCATAATCCGTCCACGTACTCAACAAAGACGGACACAAGCAGCTACATACATTTACAGCAGAAGTAAGGCTGGTTCTGTGCGCTCTACACAGTTAGATTGAGAGACTGTACGATGTACGACTCTGTGGTGATTTGTAAGTTGGTGATCACACAAATACACACACCATGCAAATTGTCAAATAAGCAATTTAGGTGCTTCCAATTTTCTATGAGGTTGTACTGTAGGCAGTTTTGCAGCAGACTTGTTGTGTTGCCAGCTAATTCGGTAAACAACATAATTACTGCATAATTACAGCATTAACTTGAGCAGCCCATTCAGCAGTCACTATTGTTTGCTATAAGCAGCCTTGGTTTGCATGTTTTACATCACGCTGGCTAAATTTCCGAGCGACAATAATTGTTCTGCTTCCATATTAGCGTGTTCGGCTTTTACTGCTTGAATGCATTGTTTGCACTGAGGTCACTACATTCAGCGATGGGGGTGGTACAAGGTATGTGCGTGCGTGCGTGCGTGTGCATATGCACGTGCTTCTATACCCACATATGTCTGCTACATATTCATGAGAGCCCGTCAGCTATGTGTGTATCAGTACAGGTGGCATATTCACACCGCATATCAGTTTGTGTGTGTGTTAATGAAAGGCGATAAATGAGAACTGACAAGCACTGCACAGCAGTGAGCAGAGTTCAAGAACATTGGCAACTGTCAAGAAATTTTGTCCTCATGTACTTTATACACGCAACCACACACACACACTAAATTATATATTGCATGTTCTTCATCAGGGGGTTTCTTTTGCTTCCATTTTCTTTGTGCCAGGATGAGTGGCAATAACAGAGCATTAAATTGGGAAGTGAGGTCAAGTAGATGAGCACAAACACAACATACAAGGTTGGCCAAATCTTTCAGGGGTAAAGGCCTTTTTGAGAAAGAGAGAACACTCCACACTACAAGAGAAATGCAGAAGACTGTCCTTCATTTCAGTTAGACCACCATTCCAGCCTGTTAAATATGCACTTCCTCATTGTGCTGTGTTGTTTGAGAGGAAATTGAGTCATACTGTATATTTTTGAGACTTAAATTTGGGCTGCAAATAACAAGCATTTTGATTCTGAAGGAATTTGAATGAATGAAAATGAATAATTTTCTCAGTTAAACATTTAGTCAAAAAAAGTCTTGTTTTATCTGACAAACAGTCAAAATGCAATGACAATGATATGAAACAGAGAAACAAGGTAAAACCTGAAATGTGAAAAGATGGACCCAGAGACCAATGCCTGAAATTATTGTCAAAATAGTAGCTACTACATTTTCTCAACTCTAAATTAAAGTACTTGATTATTAGAAAACTAACCTATAATCACCAATGCAGTGAAGACATCAGATAGCATTTCTGCACAAATCTGCATTCAGATGTCAAAGAACTGACTCTGTCAGAGAAATTATTGTATCATTTCCTTTTATTACTTGCATTGCAGTCTTCCTTAAAAACGTGATGAATGTGTTATATTGCACTGCTAGGGGAATGTCTGCTTTGGTAATCACAGGTTGCTTTAGTATTTATGTCACCTTTTCCCAAATATTTCCTTTCTAGAGCTTGCAGTCAAAAAAGAGGAGTCATTACTTGGCCTGTGAAAATGAATTAGACGAATAGTGCATTTTAATCACTGAGGAAAACCATTTAAAATCAGCCTCGAGCTTGATAAACTCCTCTTGGCCTGACTGTGTAAAGGCAGGTGTACCTACCGTTCTGTGAAATGTTTATCTTTAACTATAAATTACCTGTCCGCGCATCCAAAAAGAGATGCTTAGTAAGTGCACTCCATCAGTAAATACAGTCAGTGAAACTCTCTCACTCGCACACACTCTGTCTGTCCCTCTCTGTGTCACGCTGATGGACGTCTAGCAGGTGGCCACTGGGTAAATTTTGCATTAGTAGCAGCCAGTGGAGCGTTGTAGTCAGGGGAACACCTGCCGTGCCCAATCTAGCCGAGATGGACAGATGGGGCAAAGGGAGAGAGATAGGTGGCCAGGATTATTGTGAGGAAGAGAGGGTAGGTTTATTATGGTGTGGAAAGTGAAGGATGCCGTGGCGATATGAAGATGCGGAAGAGAAAGGTTTTACTCAGGGGTGAGATACAGGCAAGAAAGACAGGCATAAGCCAGAGCAAACTGGTGATCCAGCAGACGCTTCATGCCCAGTAACTTTTAGGTAAATGTGTTTTTTATGTGCATCAGGAATAAATCTAGTGTTTGTTCTTCTGTATTAAAATGTGATGTTCCGTCAGTGAAGCAGGAGAGAGGGAGGCATAGCAAAGGAGGTAAACAGGTGGCTGTTTCTTCACTTAAAAATGTTGCTTGTTATTAGTGAATACATGGTTTATGAACTGCTCATACATCGTTTTTGAGGAGACTATCGGCTAAATGTGTAACAAAAAAAAAAAAAAAACATGCTTCTCAAGGTGATCATAGGCCTCGTGTCAGTTGCACTGTCACCTCTCCTACATATTTTATGTAGGTGGTGGATGTTCCAGAGCTACAGAAAAAGAACGGGTGGTGCTGTGTGTACGCTTGACTTAATCACTGCACACATACACCATAAGTAGGAACAGTGGTGAAATGTGCAGTAAGCTGACAGCTCATGGTGAAAAGTTGAGAGGAGAGAGAGAGAGAAGTGGTGGTGGTGGTGGTGGTGGAGGGTGGGGTGGGCGGGGGGAGAAACAGGCAACAGGCATCAGTTTCTATGGCAACCACCACCTCGCCCACAGCAACAAACTTCCTTCTCTACTGAAGCAGAGAAAGAGAGTGGGGTGGCAGTGGTGGTGAGGTGTAGCTTTAGCGCTAAAGACAGAGAAGGAAACATTGTACAAATGCAGTAACACACATTTTCACCCTTAGTTATTAGCTAAAATCTGCACTCTGTATCTCCCTTTCTCTTTTTCTCCCTCATTCTCCTCCTCCTTGTTTCTAACTGTTCCCCTCTCCTGGCTAAAAAGAGACTCCTCCTCAGGAGTCTGTACAGCTTTCTACTGCCCTCTGCAGGCATCCTCCTCCCAATCACACCAAACACAGCAGGGGTCTTTGTGGCTTGGTTTCTCTGTGTGTGCGCCCTTCTCTGTGTATCTCTTTCTATTTTTCCACAGATGAAGCGTCAGTAGCAAAATCTTATGGTTAAGGCTTTTGTGTGGTGTCTTGATAGATTAAGGTATCGGGGCCTGTTGTAGTGCGTGATTAAAAAGTCTTAAATTGAGTGTCTGTCGTCTGTTTATCAGGCATGACTAAAAGCTGGCATTTCTATCTGTTTAGCAGCAATGTTTGATTACACTGTTTTTTTTTTTGTTTTTAACTGTCAATCAGGTGAAAAGCTTACTCTCTCGTCTTGCTTTTCTTTTTTTCTTTTTTTCTTTCTTTTTTTTTTACACTTTTGAAGATGCTTGTTAGCTGCCTGTCTCTCTGACAGGCTTACACCCCTCACTCTTGTCTGTCAAGTCGTGTATTATCTGTCTTCCCTCCTGTCTCTCTGGCCTTCATGTGCAAATCTAGCTTCAAACTGGCAAAGTTAGATGCTAACATGCTTCAAATGCAAAACTGACTTTTTCCTTCGTCCATGGTTTTGTTTTATACCGCCCCTCCATTTGCAGTCTGTTTTCAATATTTCAGGATTTATCACAGTGGAGATTCAGTAGAATAGAAACACGTGACAACCCAGCTTGATGTGAATACCAGCCCACGCTGTCTCAGTATGTGAATTTATATATAACTGAGCGTGCTTTTTCACCTCAACCCAACTGTGTCGCACCTCACTGTAGCTTCAATTGAAACTGAAGCAACTATTGTACATATGTGTGGCATGTCTTTGCGACATGGTGTAAATTAGGTATGAAATTTTTATGTGAAATATAGATATTTTATAGATACAGAGGTAGCTTACAGCTAGAAGGACCTGTTAGAACAAATGAGGAAATCTAGTATGCTATAATGCTAGCATGTTAATTTTTCAGTTAACTATTGTCTGTGTAATGAAAGCAGATACTTCAGCTATGCAGGATGTCACTCAGCAAGATGTTTAAAATGAAAGTTTAGCCTAAGTTCTTGCACACAAGCATTTTTTTTAGTTTTCTTCATCAGGCACTTGCCATATGCACATTTATTATCCATGTGTTCCTCAGTTAACCATAAAATATTTAAAACTTTTGATCCAAATGTTTGATCCAAAGCAGAAACCTAGCAAGACTGCCTCACAGATAGCAGAGAATTACTTTGAATGAGGACCAGTGGCTCTAATGTGGTATATTTCAGTTAATCGACTTGCTAATTAAGCGACTCTCAAACCTGCATTTTGACAAGCTAGCTTTGCTAGTCTGGAATAATAAGCGAAATTCAACAAATCCAAGCATTAATTCAATAACAAGGTGTAGATATTCTCATTAAGATAAATAGAGGGCTGTTCAGTGCCAAGATGTTGATTGCAGAGATGGAAGCTAACCAGATGTGCTGAGAATCCATCACTGTTAATTGATTGTGATTTAAAAAGTTGTGCTTGATCATTAAATGTTAAAAGGAAGTAGCAGATGTTTCAAATGTTATGTTTTCTCAAGTTCTTCGATTCTGACTGCTGTTGCATTTAGGCTGTTAATGAGGTAAGCCATAAGTTGGACATGCTTGCTGCTATAGCTAATGTCTTTGAGTAGAGTTTTGAAGGTGGCTACTATAACTGTACTCTTTTGCCGGGGGGGTGACGTCGCCATAAAATTAGACGGCGCTCGTTTGTCATGTCAAGGTCGATACTTACCTCAGGTCCTGCATTCCTCCTCCTCATCTTTTTCTCTGCCTCCATTCCCTTCCCTTTCTCTGTGTCTGAGGTGAGTGCTCACCTCCTTCTCTCCTCCATCCTCTTCTTCTCTCCTCTAACAGTCTATTATTATATAGGTATTTATTCTCTCCTACCCTCCCTGCACTCTCACCTCCCCTTTCCAGTCCTCCACCTCCTCTATCTGCCATAACCTGCCTTTTACCCCTTCATCCCCCTCTAATTTTTCCTCTCCTTTTCTCCTCCTTCCCAAATCCTTTCCTCCTCATTAGCTCTCTTTTCCTCTCATAGCTTCAGCTTTCTGCCACCTCCCTCCCTCCCTCTCTCTTCTCATGCTTTCCATCCCGAAAGCTGTGAGCCCCAGTGTTTGGCCAGGATGAATGGGAGCTATTTAAGCTGCTGGCAGGTCCTTTTGGTGTGTGTGTGTGTGTGAGTGTGTGTGTGTTGCCAGAGAGAGTAAGTGTGTGGGTGTTACGTGTTTTGACAACTCTGGATGTTACAATTTTGGCACAGTGTCACTTGGAGGTTTTAAAGTGGCCAGATAGGTAACATTTGTAAGTGTTGTCATACTGTATAAAGCTGCTCACAATTTGATTAAATGATGCCACAGAATAAAGCACTGGACACACTCTGCTTACTAAATGGTATATTGTTATGAATTCTTCAAAAATATGTCTCTCTCTTTTTGTCTTATTCTCCTTTTTTAGTCCACCAAAGGTCCCCATGATTGTATCTGGAGTGGTTACAAAGGTAAGACACACACACCCTCTCAGGCACAGACATACAGAGACCACCAGTAGTGTTAAAATAAGCATTATGAGGTGGTTTCAATGTGGGACATGAGCTCTACAGGGATGTGTAGAGGCTTAGTGCAGAGAAAGAGAAAGAAAGACAGAAAAGGGGAAAGCAAGGCAGAGGAGGTGAGGAGAAGAAAATGAAGAGAAATGCAGAGGTAAATGTGAGAAAGCAAAGAAGGGCGAGGATCACTCATCTGCAGTGTTGGGCAAGTTACTAGATAATTATTACTCCTTGAAAAAGTAACAATATTACTTTACTTATTTCTGGTTAATAAAAGTTAAAAACAAGTTTCTTGTTACGTTCTATATTACTTTCAATCCCCCCCCCCCCCCCAAAAAAAACAACAACTTTTGAAGTAATATTATAAAATTGAACATAAGTAAGTTGTAAGTTTTACAAAGGTAGTCAGACATTTTAGGATTCATTCAGGCTATTCAGCAGTGAGTGCGTGCGTGCGTTGTTGCGTGCGTGCGTGCGTGCGTGCGTGTCCTTCAGTCCCTGGATGGATCCGTTTCCTGCCTGTCAGACCAGGTAGATTGTTTGCGGAAGATTGCGGTGATATCAGCAAGGTGGCAGGCATCCCATTTATCCCCCGATCCTCTCTAGCCTTCCCGTTCGCCCCCTATCACTGCCATCAAACCCAGAGGCTAGCACTGCACAAAGCCTCAGAAAAGCCTTTTAGGAGCTAAGTGAAACACTTGTCTGTGTGTGTGTGTGTGTGTGCACCCGCGCAGTTTGTGGCCTGTTGGGGTTTTATTTTAATGTAAAAAAAAGAAGACATTTCCTGGCTACGTATATTTTTCCCTTTCCTTGCCTTTTGTGTTGTGAAAATTATTTGTCCCAAGTTACTGAAGGTGAGCGTCTAGGATGATGGTTAGAGAGAGAGAGATCATTTTGGTATTATACACAGACAGATTAATAAAAGAATTGTTGAAAAGTATATCTCAACAGGTCAGCTTTTGCATGCAAGACAGAGAATATGCATATTGGGTGAGACAGTTCTGCTTTAGACTAAATTTGCTATTCTTTATTCAATATCTAATGAAACATTATGTTAATTTGAACCATTCAAAACATTCTTGAGCCATTATCTTCTTGAGCCACATGGATGTAAAAAAAAAAAAACTTAGTTTCATTTCTTCCATTTTAACATGTTCTCATTCTGAAACATTCTTTAAAGTATTAAAAGGAGGAAAATTAGACTAGGGAAAAGTAGCAAATATCACATTATTTCCCCGAATGGGTTTTTTACCTGTGTATTAAAATGGTGAAAATGAGGCAGGAAACATGCCATGCCAATCACCATGATTTCTATTCACAGTAACACAGTTAATTTGTTGCTTTCCCTCCCATACCTCTGCTTCAGTCGGCGAAAGATAGGAGAGACAGAAGCTTTGAGCTTCAGAAGAAAGACGAAGGGCAATTGGAGGTCAAATCAATCCACATCCCATGCACTTAGCTGTGGAATTGGCTTTAAATGAAAGAAATACACACACTGTAAATGTTTTGTGCCCACATACACACACATGTAGAGAAAGTAGTGCACATACTGTACAAAACCAGCACACACATACAGTGAGGATTAGGGTCAAGCGATGATGGGTTGGGCGAATGAAATTCAGCAAGAGGTTCAGATAGACAGGAGGGTGTGTGTGTGTGCGTGCGTGTTGGTAGAGCGTTAATTAAATTGGTTTTATAAGTTTATCCATATAGACGTTCTTAGAAATCAAAATTTGAGGGAAACTTGTATTTGTTTTTTATATATATATATATATGATGGAATAGTAACATCCACATATAGCAACATCTGGAATGATAAGTCCGCATCAGCGGCAAACAACAAATAAATGCTTAAATCCAGTATTTTAGATAAAAGAATTTTAGATGAAAAAAACTTCAGTATGAATTCATAATCATGCATGCAGCAATGTAATGTGTGCTTTTCAAAAACGCTGTCTTTAAGCAACTGGTTTCCCAGCTTTAAACAAGCTCACCACCACCCTCACTGTGCTGTATGTAAAACCTGTAAAGCTGATGATACACGGAGCAACTTTTAGAGCAATGGTGCTGGGCAATGTTACCCATGAGTAAAGATTACTACTTTAATCCCCCACCGTTCCACCACCCCCACAGAATTATGGTGATGACCAAAAGCCAGTTTGGCACTAACGAGTGAAGAACAGGGGAGTTAGGAAGCGGTATAAGGAAGAAACAAAAACATGTTGGCAGGTAAAGATAAAACGAAAGAAGGGAGGAAATCCAGGCATGATTGAGGTCTTTGATGAAAGTCTGCCTTTCTTTTTTGAATAATCAAATACCTGCTTTGATCCGATTTAGACATGAGGCTGTTTATGGGCATTTTTCTTGGAAAAAGAGATTGAGGTTGCAGAGCATATGAGTAGGGACAGATGAGTGCTCCATACGCTATCCTTCACACACTTTCCTCATCGTTATTATGATTACCAGAGGGAAAGGATTTAAAAATAGAACACGAAGGGCACACACATTATATCACATACACACTTTCACACTTGAATATTACTGTTCACAGTACAGTTTTTACTTTTAATTTAGCTGATGCTTTTATCCAAAGCAACTTACAATTGCTATATGTCAGAGGTTGGACACCTCTGGAGCAACTAGGGTTTAAGTGTCTTGCTCAGGGACACATTGGTGGATGTAACAGGGTGAATCAAACCCAGGTCTCTCAGGCCAAAGGCATGTGTCTTATGCACTGCCCCATCACCATCACTACTTACATTAGTCGCAGTACTCTTATTTTGTCTTTAGTGTCTAACTTAATGGAAAACAACCACATCACTATGCTACTATTTAATAGCTAACTTCAGTTGGATAGATATTTGCTCTACTGTATGTTGCAATGGGAGGTATGCAACAGATAAGATGCAGCAGAGCTTATGGGCCATCTGAAAGTATTGCTTCATTCATGAGTTTCCCAGCTGACAAATATAAGATGAAAAGTTTTAGTGGTTTGAGCACCCAGTTGTACAACAGTGAAGCGGAACTAGCATATTGAGCACGACTACCAATGAGGTGCGTGCTTCATGTGCAGTTGGACACGCAGGAACACCAGCTGTTCTGTCTGTATACTTTTGGTGATGGTAAAATACTTTAAAACTCCAAAAGGGGATGTTCTTGTAGACATTTTAAGCATTTCATATTGGCCATCAAGAATAAAGTACTCCATCACAATCGAACAGTTGTTCATTTCCCTCTCAAGTCATCTCTAGTAATAGTTCCAAAGTGAGTTGTTTTGGCACCAAATTTGATCTTGTTTATCCGGAAAATATGCATGAACTGAATTTTCTCCTTAAACAACTATTGTATGACTGTGTTCTATTCAGGGTGATAAGGACTTCACCCCTGCAGCTGCGCAGGTGGCCCACCAGAAGCCACAGCCTTGTGTCCCCAAGCTGCCCTCTGTCCAGCACATCAACCAGCACATCCACCAGCCCCGCAAGTGAGCCAAGCCGCAAGCTTCAATGGCTATGCTAACTCCACCGGCCGGCCTTCCCAACAGAACACATAGGATGAAGATGTTTCCCCACCAGGCACAGATCTCTAAAAAAAATCAAAGAGTAGTTTTCAGCCTGTTGCTTTACATGTATGAGGAATTTATCTGCAACAGACACCCAATGCCAATACAGCCATTGTAGAAGTCCCGCTTTCTTCTCTTTTGACATTTGTATAGTCTTAAGGTGGTATAAGTGGGTGGAAGGTCTTCTAAAATGGCTATGATTTGAGGATTAAACATTAATAGATAAACTGATCTGAGTCTGTGGGGGGAACTCTCACCCCAGCGACATGTTGACCCAAGCCACATCACAACCACAACCAGCCAATCACAGCAACCTACCAATCAGGCCAACTTAAAAACCAGTCACCTCACAGTGATGAGCCCTAAGCTCCAGCCTTCTACCTATGACCTTCACAGACCAAAAGAACAAATCATGAGGTGCAGACCAGTTTCCGATTATCTGCCTCCAATTTAAACGTTTAAATATATTCAAACAAGACAAGAAACTAGGCATTTTCAATGTGTAATAGATGCGCAGTAAGGGGAACCAGTAAGATGCAAAACACTACCCATTACTCCTAGGAGCTACTTAATGCATGTCGTTCATGTCATGACTGTGGATAGCTAGCTATGGTTATATACTTATATAGCTTTTGGGCCACAGCAAAACCAGTTTCCTCCTGCCTTTTATTTACCAGAGAAGAGTCTTGCTGATCTCAGATCTGCTCTCCCTTTTTACCTGCCTTCTTGGAGTTGTAACAATGTCTGTCCTTTCCTGGCAATGTAAACTAACTTTAATGCAAACTCACCCTGCCTCACAGTAAAAGTTTGCCAGCAGTGCCTCGTTGCTTAGACTTCGAGTTATTTAGTCTCATTTGGCTCACATCGATTTACATTTTATCTGCCGCACGCCGGAGTCAACAGGAATGGAAATCACAAAATCTAAAGAAAGCCATTTACTGTGAAGCAGCTGCGGGATGCTTTGTGTTTACGTTAACATTACCCTGAACATCACAAGTGGGTAATATACTCTATTACAAGTTGAACAATGCAGTTCAGAGATGCGGATCAGAAAATAGTGAGGCTCCTAACTGTGAGATGAAGGTAACAAGACGATTTCAACATTCCATAGAAAATATGTCAACCATGTGACGGTTTGTCAGTGTGCAAGGATATCTGCAGGTATGGCTGCGTTGTGTATCAGAAATCTGTACCAGCCCACAAAATCCAGGTCTGCGTTTCCTTGGAAATGATAACATATCAGCACACACAAACACAAACCACCCTCTTCCTTAATCACCTATCTCCTTACACTCAAGTGTTGGTTGCAAAACTAATGTTCAGGTTTCCATGAAAGAAAGAAATTTATCTTGCCAAGAAGGAATGATTTCCTGTGTTAATTTAATTAAGTTTAAAAGAGTTTATTTTTGTTCTTCTCGGTTCAGTTTGCTTGAGTAAATTGTTCAAATTGTACAAATCTTTAGTCATTGAGTGGACGAAGGTGTTAGGTGTGGTTGTCATAGTAAATAAAGATATAGACTATCTTGAAAATGCCCTTTTCGGCTTGTCTGTATTTAAATTAAACGGGTGATGACTGGAAAACTTCATGTTGAGAGAAAAAAAAAATAGATTACCTCCTACTGGAGAATGTGAATGATATGGTTCTAATGTGTTGTACTTTGTAAAAGTTCAAACTAGTCCTACTTGGATGGATTGTAACCTGCACCTCACCTGAAGTGTTTGAGCGTACCATGGTGAATTAGCACCCTGCACTGAGGGATTAGGGCTCAGGTGGTGTTTTGAAATGAAGAAGCATCTCTCCAAGAGCTGTCTGCCCCCCTCCCCCACTTCAGCTCACACACAAACAAATACACAGTGTGCACCAGGTGTTAGTGCATGTAATCCATCTTCACACAAGCATCTGCAACCAGGTGTTCTGTCACTTTATGTTAGCCCATTAAACCAGCCAGTGTGGGGCTTAGTTGGTAGGAGCCTCCGTCAGCATGCTGAAGCACCCTATTAAAGCAGACATGATCTCCCTGCATCTCCCTGGCTGTATATAGTTCTCTCAATGTGGCAGACCTCTCATCCCCTGCCATGCCCTATTTGACTGGACGAACAGAGCAAGGGTGAGACACTGCAAAAAATCTATCAAACTGCCCTACTCAGGAATCTTTGGTTGTGTAAGTATGTGTAAGTAATTCCACAGTGAAGTAACTATGACCACCCATACAGGAGAAGCCGCCGGTCGTGGTACTGCAAAAGTGCTGAAATACGTATCGAATTGTGTGTCTTTGTTCTTTTTTTATATATAGATAAAGAATGGTCTATTAAATATTAAAGGTGTGTAGGGGGGGATATCCAAAATGGCCAGCTTCCAGCAAACATGTCAGCAGGCAAAGGAAGTCATCTGTCTTTGTCCAAAACATGCTTTTTTTAGTTTTCCTTCCAGCACCATAAAAACAATCAAGGTTACACCAAGTCCTTCTCATTTAGGCACTGTATTACGTTAGCCTTGAGTATACACGACCAGCTGGCCATGTGGTCCTCAGGAACATTCAAACTGGCTTCAGCTAGTTTAGACTGGTCATTTCTGTGTCACAGCCACCTTGAAAACCTTCCACTGATGCTGCGGTTTACTCAGTCAACAGGCAACACTGAGAGGAAAAGGTATTTCGGTCATTTATGTCCGGGCCTTTTGGGTTGTGGTCATGGTCATTTTGAGATGGCAGCAAGGCTACAATGAAAAAACATCACAACATAGCATGAACAGGACTCCTCAAACAGCACCTTGACACAATTTAATGTTAAACCAAACTATTTTTTGCAGTGTTACTGCTGACAACAGATAAGGTAACGCAGGACCTGTTTTTTTTTTTTTTTTTCTTTTAAATCAAGCTCAATCTTATCAAAACTCCTGAGAAACTTTTTTTGTGTGTATTCAAGTGCTGCTCTTTGCCAAGTTTTCCTCGCTTTTTACCAGTGAGGGCATCGCCACTTGAAGTTCATTTTCAGTTCACACATTGTAGATCATTCTGATGCTGATTTAATTGTGAGATATTTTCATTTATTCATACTTTTCAGAAATGGAATTCATTAAGAGGGACCTACTTTATGCTTGATTGCATCACATTTCAAAGAATACTAAAAAGAAATAAAAATTATATAGCTCTTACACTTTGAGTGCTGGAATAGATTACATTTAGTTCTTGCTAGAAAAAATATAGAGAAAGTCTTTGGGACCATAGGGATCTTATTATCATGTATTATTTGGAAATAAAGCCTCACATGTGGTTCACTAGCCAGCCAGGAATTAAATCATTCGATAAATAAATATATATATGTGTGTGTGTGTGTGTGTGTGTGTGTGTATACAGCCACACAGATATTGCTTTGCCTTAATTATTGCTTATTGTATGGCATATATAGTACATTTTTTAAGATAATTCATATTATAATTAAGATTTGACAAGTATATGTAGTGAAAATGTAATAACTGCCACATGATGCAATATTACATCTTAATCTAAAATTGTAAAACATCATCATTGCTGCTTGTTATTATTTAAGGAATGTAACAATAATGCAATACTTCAGTTGTTACATTATACATGATTTCATTATTAGGCATTATTAACATTAATTAAAAATGATGGTATTATTAATACTTCATAATGTCATAATTTTGTGCAGGGAGTATATAAAAGAAGGTCACATTCAAATGAAAATCTTACAGGGATCGCTGCCGATTACCAGTGGTGAAATGTAAGTACATTTACTCAAGTAGAATTTTGAGGTACTAGTACTTTACTTGGGTATTTCCATTTTGTGAGCTACATTTGTACCACTACATTTATTTGACAGCTTTAGTCACTAGTTACTTTGCAGATTCAGATTTTTTATTCAAAATATTAATCATCTAATAAATTATGACATATTATTATAGATGAAGCTACCAAGAAGCATATAAAGTAGCTGAAATTAGCGCCACCTGCGACATTATAATCCAGTGATTTTCTTGAAATAAGCCATTTTGCATAATGAACACTTTTGCCATTTGACGTTTTGATGCTAATACATGGACTTTTGTATATTTTAAATGCAGCACTTTTATTTGTAACAGTATTTTTACACTGTGTTATAACTACTTTTAAGTGAAAGATCTTAACACTTCTTCCACCTCTGCTGATCACTAAACATCAAACGTCATCTTTGGAATGCAGTAGCCAGACAGAGACCATTTGCTCATGAACACTGAAAATGTGTGGATGGAGGATTATCATTATAAGTGTTGTACTAAAACCAACCAGCAGAGGGCCCCAACTAAGGATTCGGGATTTCCCCCAAATTCACAGGTTTGGTTTCTAGAATCGGGTCATACTGTCTAAATCCCAGGCTGTAGCATCACATTGTGACATAATAGCTGTCATACTATCAGTGGATAGTGCCCTGTTTACTTGGCCACTTGTGAATATCTATGAGGGATTTGGGTCGGGGTGGGGGAGGGGGGCGCGATGGGGAATCGCTGACCAAGCCTGTGGCGCTTCATAATCTCAGGTTACAATGTAAACCAACAGCTGTTTGAGCTACAACAATGACCTAAATATTACCTGATGCATTCGTGGCTAATAGGTTTTGTACCCCCCCTCACCCACTCACCCACACACACACACACACACACACACATACACACGCATGCACACAGTAGTAGTTCATTTACTTCACACTATGTATGAGTCAAATTGCAAAAGATGAAAACAAACACAAACACAGTATGCACAAATAACACAGTCCTGACCAGAATTCAAAAGCCTGTCATAAACATGAGCATGTGATGTATCTAAAGGTATCTGAGCTTCATTCTGTAGGCCTATTGCCAAGAAACAGGCTGTAGAAACCTTATGAAAATGCTCTCAAACTACACACAGTAGACCTTACTTTATTGACAAATATGTAAATCCTGCACTTGCAGTTTGCTAAGCGCAGAGTTCAGTGAATGTGCAGTTAGCTCATCTTTTGTCGTGTTCAAATGGCTTCCTCTGGGCGGTATCTAAGCAGACTGCCACTCTGCAGTCAATGAAGTTTATTTGAAGAAATGATTTGGCTGCGCAGCACCCCTTGTAACCCCTTAGCAACTCATCACCATGTATATTAGACACACACTCTTGGATGGCACTTAAGCTGCAATCGCCATGAGGAGTTAGGACCGTGAAATTGTGCTCTCAGAAATCTCGACATTGTTATATCACTGCTCTCCCCGTGGCTATGCGTGTTTAAACTCACAGCTATTTTTTGCCCTATTATTTTCACTGTTCTAATGTTAAAACAGGCAGCTGACCTCTTGCTCTATAATGGGTTGGCTGTTTATACCAGAGGGGCCGTATGTTAGGGATTATCACTTCAATTCTACTCGACCAAGGCTCACCCTGGTTTCTCAAACTCACATTACTGTCAGTCTCTTTTTTTTCTACAGTTCTTGGTTGAAATGCATGCCCTCCAAATGCTAAGATATTTTATGAAAATCAAGAAGAGCAAAAATAAATACCCCAGCATTTTCTTTTTAATTTTTCAACACAACATTTGAACAGCAAATAAAGCAGCAATATTTGGCTCAATAAGTCACTGTTAACAGAACTGTTTATTTTGTCCACATCATCCATACCCTGTATACACCAAACTCACACATCTTAGTCTGAGTCTCATTTGTTGCATAAGAGTCTCATTCGCTGCATGTTAGTGTATCACTATTAGAACCAGTGTAATGTGGTTTTTTAATCCAAAAATTTGGGAAGAGTTTGAATATTCATCCCACATGGTGAGATTTAAGTGTTACATCACAATAGTGCTAAACATTTCATTCTTGGTCTCGAACATCAAGACTATAAAACATAGTTCTTTGTATGTCAGTAGGCTATGTGGAAAAAGTCCATATGGAATTAAAAAATAAAAAGTTTGTCATCAAAAAGCATTATAATCTCTAATATAAAATATATATGCAAAATACATTCATGGGTTTTCTCATTATAAAGCAAAACAAAAAGCATCTAAAAACTGCTGTCAAATGCTATTAGATTCTATATAAGCTTGTGTTTAGCCTTCTCAGTCAATATGACATGCCCATTAGTATTCTCGACTGAATCTGGTAAAGACATTATTCCATAACATCTTTAATAAAATGCTTCCAATTTTTTTGGTAGAAGGATGAACACATTTCTGCTGTGGTTACAGTTCTGAAAGAATGTGTGTTTTCTGCTCCAATACGGTGCAACATACTACACAAACACTGCAGTATAGAGCACCCAACGCATAACAAAATATAGACTTGGCTGTCCATTAAAAAGCAATAAATATGAAAAATAAGTTAGCTAAAAAACATTTCAAGTATCAAACCTCCTGGGTATTCACTGTTTGACATCATAAAGGACACTGAGCATCATACACATGCTGTTAAAGCTCCGGCTACCATTTTTAAGAGGCCAGCCGGCATCCCCTTCTGACCTCTTTGAGCAATGCTTCTGGTAATTATAGGCTCACCCTGAGCACAAATAATATAGA